AAAAAGCAATACAATTTTGATATTTATTGTTTGAGAAAAATATTTTTTTATAAGTTTATTTTTTTATTCATTCTTCAATATTATATTCATATGCATACATTAATAAGGAATGGGTCAAGGAATAAAGTGATATTTAGTTGGCCGTTTACCAAACGCTTACTTGAGTAAGTGTTTACCAAGTCACATTAATTTATCGAATGAATATGGTAAGAAACAAGAATCTTATCCGGTAAGAGCGAGATAAGGACCAAGATTTTTATTCAGTAAGTGAGGGCGACGACTCTTACCACGGTAAGCGCTTACCGGATAAATTGTTGCATACAATGTCGTTTTGGTGGACTAAAATCTTATCCGTTAAGTAAATAATAATATTAAATTTTACCAACAAACACTTACCAGATAAATGTTTGATAAACAGTCCCTAAATGAAAATGGATATGAATAACTAACCCTTTATTCATACATATTTTATGATGGCACACTTTTCATTACACATAAATTTGGACGTATACTTCATGGCAAAATTATCTATACTATCTTATAAAGCAAATTTAATAAAAATTTTAAAGTCTTAAAATACTAAATAACCAAGATACCTTTTATATCACTTTTTCACTCCCTCCTCTCCTCACATACACTCTCTCACAACCAATTTTTTTAAAATTATAATTTTAAATTTATACTTTATACTCCTATAATTAATTAATTAATTTACTTTACGTCCTTTATTTTTAAATGTTTCATTTTAAACATTTATCAAATTAATATATATAATCCTATATCAATTAAAACATGTTTAAAAAATACATTTTTATTTTAACAAGATACACCATTATAATCGTCTCGTTAATACCTTCGAAATAAGTCCAATATTGAATAGTTTTTTACTAAATTATATTATTTTATGTTATATATACCGTGGAATTTTTTTTTTAATATTTACGGTTTATACTTTTATAGTTATTTATTTATATATACACTATATATTTTGGGGTTAGGCTGTCCAAAGTGCACTGTATAATATGTTCTGAATTAATATGTTCTTGGGTTTTTTTTGAAATATATATATATATATATACATGTATTAATTCAACCTTAATCTAAGTTTCTGGACAAGAATGAGGGTAAACAGTTGAAATTTCATTCTAAAACCCATTTTTTTTGGTCTTTTTCATGACTTATGATCTGTCAAATTTGTAGTTTTCTTTATTGTTTTTTAGTGTTTATCTTAAAACTCAAGTTTCTTGGTTCTTTGCTCTTGGTGTAAATCGAACATATTTGTGGAGTCGTTTAAATATGTTGGATTTTAAATATACTGGATTTTAAACTGTCATACAATTTTTTCATCGTTAGTCTATAATTGGAACCATAACTCTTATTTATTCAAATTGTATTAATATGTAAAGACCAAGTGTAACATATATCATCGTTAAATCTTATCTTATAAAACCAGTGGAACTTCAAAATCGTTAAAATTCATGGTTCCCGCCGCATTGCGCGGGTACACAACTAGTGTTTAGTAAAAGAGATCAACCTTTCATATATCAACAACATGAATTGTACTTTATGTTATAAATATGTTTTCTTCATAAAAATCCCATCGATGTTAAACATAAGATTTAAGGGATGGATGTATTTGTGGCCACGTTACAGGGTGTTTTATTAAATGAGAAGACCTTCTCAACTTTAAGCCATGGTTTCTAACGTTCGACTAATTTAACTATTCTATTGAATAAAAGTAATTCATAAACATCCATTAGATGCATATGATGAAAACTTTGACATGAAAACAATTACAAGAACTTGGTTAAAAACTAGATGCATCCAAGGGACGGAACGTTCTGACAAAAAAAAAAAAAATGAAAGGAGACTGCTTGATAGCTTTATGTTCATATGTGGTATTATGATGCTATATATCATGGCACCTATGAGAATGGTATAAGATTGGATGGAAAGCCTATATATAACTAGAGAATTAGAATTCTCATTTTCTGAATTTCTGAATCAGTGTTGAATTTGGAATTACTATACAAACTACAAAAATAATTGAATGACGAACAATGTGGCCACTGCATTTTTAATCTAACTACCTACACAACTTTAGGGTGCGAAGTTTTGCACATTTTCGTTATTTTAGAAGGAAATTAGGGTTGTAAGGGGAAACCGTGTTCTCTTCTCTGCCCATCGATTTCTTTTTTCCCCATTGTTCTTTAAGATTTCTACTAATAAGTTGATGGGAAAGACGAGGATTGATGTTCCCTAAGATCAATATGATGAAAACTCAAGTGTAATACAATATCTATAGATTTTCCTTGTTTTGTTTGAATTTGAATTATAAAAGCATGAATATTTCATTAGAAAAAATAAATCGTCAAATCGGCACCAAGGATCAACTATTTAACATAAATTTGTCAAATACAACTCGACAATTGCAGCTAGTAAGAACAAGATCTACATCTAAGATTAATTACAGAATTAATGATACGTGTATGCCTAACTCTCACTGTGCAAATCCGAAACCAAATATGGCTCGATCAATTATCGAATATGCTTGACAATGATTGACAAAATCAAGATATTGAATCATAGAAACCATAATCAATGAGTGAGATTCTCGGTAAACCAAAACATTCAAACACCCCTTGAAGAATGAGTCATTTACATTCCATAACCCCAACTTCCAAATTTATAAATATTGAACTAAGGTTATTACAATATCTCCCCTTAACGGAATTTTGTCCTTAAAATTCTATTATCAAAAAGCGTGGGTAGAGATACTTCATTTCCAACTCTAACTCTCATGTTGCTTCATGTCCTTTATGACATCTCCAGTGTACTTTTACAACACTGATTTCTTTGTTCCTCAATATATTAATTTTACGATCCACGATTGTCTCTGGCACCTTGATTAGTAAGATTTACCTTTCCATCTAAGTGCACCTCTTGAAGTGGTACCGCCATTTCGACCTACGCAAGCACGTCCTCAAATTAGACGCATGAAATGTATTGTGGATGCCTCGTAACTTCTTGGATAAATCCAATTTGTAAGCCACATCCCCAACTTGTTCAGTGATCCCAAACGGCCATATGTAGCGTAATTCGACTTCCCCTCTTTCCAAAATGTACCAAGCCCTTCAGTGGGAGATCTTGAACAACACCTCATCCCCACTAGAACTCTATCGGTTTCCTTTGCCAAAGGACAAATCGTATAAACTTTGTTCTCGGATTTATTTATCATGCTCAACAAAGACTTAATAGCTAAAGTCTTGAACCTGTGGGATAACCAAATCGTTTATGCCAAGCATCCAGTGAAGCTTGACATGCCCCTACGGGAAAAACCTTTCCAGACTTCTTTTCAACAACATGAATCACATATAATCCATGAATCGTATTGGCTTTGACAATCGTCCTCTTGCTTTCCAGTTCTTGTATTTCAGCATCTTTGTTAAAAAATTGCATAAAGACTTTCTTATCATTCGTTAGTCTACTTACTGATATAAGATTCAATGTGAATTCAGCAATGAATAACTTCTTCAATTTGAGTTCATCATGGATAAGAACATCTCCTACCATTTTATCACCATTTGACAAAACAACCATAAATACGGAAACCTTTCTAAGGTTTAAAAAAATAATTAATCAGCATTTAGGAAAATGTGTCTTGAAGCTCCTGAATCAAGTATCCAGTGTTTTAAATCATTCAATAAAAGTGATAGACAGATACCTAAATTGATCTGTGTATGACCGGTGCTTTCTTCGACAATGTTTGTAGAGGCCATGTGACTCGATAAGGCAGCCACTAAGTGTTGAACCTGGAGACTCTGCTTTTGTTTGTATCCAATAGGATAACCATGGAGTTTATAACACTTCTCTGTGGTGTATACTTGTATCTTGCAGTAAGTACAAAACGGACGATCAGGACCATAACTTCGATTTTTAATACCAGATGAGTTATTAGAGAAGTTCTTCTTAGTTTAGATGCAAGAAATAAAAAAGCTTTATTAATTAAACAATGGAGGAGCGCATGTATACAAAAATTCTTATCTTTATTAATCTGACTGAGTATTAATAGCTAAAATGAATATGAATATGAATAAATAATTCCATATATCTCAAATCTTGATCAAATAAAATAACATATAAAAGAATATATACAGTTCTTTAGTCCTATCTTATGGGTTCTTGCACTCTGGAGGAAATCCTTGAGGAAAACGCTTGGAATCTGAGCAGTAGTTGTAGATCATGTAGTTCTTTTGAACCCATCTCAGCCTTTCCTGCTTTGTGTTATCCAACTCCTCCGA